GCCCTCTTCAAGGGGAACTAACTTCCTGGTCCAACACAGATTCCTGAACCCATATTATTGCCTCTCCACAGCCCTCTTCACCTGTCCACTCTGGTACAACCCGGGCTCTGTAACGTTTCTTCCGTCTTCTTCCACAGACTGCTGCTGGACAAAATGCCTCGTTTCCGGATCATGATTTCAGAAGGGTACTTACAGCACCTCATGGCTTTGTTACATGTTTGTTCTTCAGGCACAAAATGAAGCCTCCCCTCCCCCATCCTGTGGACAGCATACTTGGTATTTCTTTGAGGAACAAAGTCCTGACAGTATTTCTATTTATTCAGTGAATATCTCTCAGTGGTCTTCTCCCCTCTGAGCTCTCGCTTATGCAGAGAAGTCTTGGCCATGAAAACATGTCCGCCTTCCCGGAGTCAGACCACATCCCCTCCTCTCCCTGCTGCGGGCTCTATAAAGGCCTCCTGTCTTCAGTTGCATAATTCTGCTCTTCCTAAGGTCTCCAGTCCTTGTGTGATCTCCAGGTTTCTCACGTGACTTGTTTTCTTTAGGGCTCACCTTGGACTTTGGAAAGATTTTACCTATCTACAATTGTTTCCTTGCTGGAAAAATTAGGCTGCAGAGCCAAAGGGACTTGATGACTATGAATTATCAATGCAAATCAGAGAAGGGCCCCAAAGCTAAAGTAAATATATTATTTAAATTCCAAAGAGTTTAAGTTTTATTTCAAAAGATAATGGCTTATAGCATTTAGTGAGTCATTTGTAATCCAGATCTCAAAAAAAATCAAAACACCTATTAAAGGTCAATGAAAACAGAAAGGAATCACACTCAAAGAAACTAAATAGCTGGCACACATCTCTGCTATCAGCAATAAATTCAGCAATTAACCAGTACCTGTAGGTTTTAGCAATTCACATTCTAAGTGAACATCGTGCTTAGTTTAATGTGTATTATGCTGCTCCTACTTCGATGCATTGGAGGAGTGCAAACGGTATTAAAAATTAGAGTCATTTTAGTATGACACTCCCTTTGCAACCTTATTTATGAAAATTCGAAGACATGGCTGAGTCCAATTCTCCTGCTATACAAAAGGAAAAAAGGAAAACAAGTTACTGGGGCAAAAAATGTTTTGTCCGAGGATACTGAAACACACATTGATATAAAAGTGTCATTTCATCCAGCCATGGAAGTTCCTGGAGAATCTGCCAGAGCTTGGTTGGGTATGTCCTGCAGGCTGTGCCCTCTCCGCTCCTACGTCCTCCCCCCCAAGCTCCAGGAAGGGCTGGGGTGCCCTGCTTTCTTTCCAGAGCCCCAGCCCAGCCCTGGCCCTGTCTCCCATCACCAAGACATACAAATCATCAGTCATCGACGCATTCTCTGGCCCAGGCTGTCTCTCTGGGGTGGCCCCCCTCCCTCACCATGGCTCCCATCTTCCCGGGAGTGTCGGGGTGGGGTCTCCATGTTCTGGGGCTTTCACCTGGGTCCCCTCTGTGGCTCCAAGCAGCAGGACATCTTCCCCTGCCTCCAGCTCTGAGGTCCCAGGCTGGCGATGCTCCCCCTGTCCAGCATTTCAGCCTCGGTCTCCCTGTCGTTGTCTCCCTGGTGACGTGGGCCATGCCCGACTCTCCTCGCTCGCTCTCCGCTCTGCTCCATCCACAGCATTCCTGCCTTGCCTGACTGCCTTGCTGCCCATCGTGGGGCCATCATGGGAAGGCTTTTGGGCCTTCAGGTTCAAGTGTCCGGCCGCATTGTCCAGGGCTGTGTCTGAGCCCGGTTTCCTCTGGGCGTATGGCGCCCACCACTGGGCTGTTACTTCTCTGGGATCCAGCCGTCCTTGCTTTCCTCCATCCCAGCTTTGCAGCCATGGATGGCGGAAGCCGGTGCTGGTTATCCTAACGCCCCATGCTGTCTGCCCACACGGACACACTGACCGCTCTACAAATCCACCCACTGCCCAAGCTTATCCCGTCTCCATGCTCCCGAGTGACACGCTTAGGATCCTGTCCTTCCTCCAGAAGAGCCATGCGCTCCATCTTCCCTCTTAGCGATGGCCTGGTGTCCTGTTGCATGGACGGAAGTAGAAGCTGACTGCACGTGTGGTGTGTGTGGCTATGTATATCTGCTCCTCCCCTCCTTCCCCCCATCCTCACCAGTCTCCCCATGGCGAAGGTCACCCTGACCTCCAGGCTGTCAGCTCCAGGGCTCCTGTCTCATCCTCATCCCGATGGATGAATCTGGGACACGGATGGCCACTTCTAGGTTTACTTCCTTTGGCTTCTCGTTCATAACAGCTGCCCAAATTTCTTCCCACCTTGGATTATTCATCTTGATCAGTAACTTGGTTGGCTTGGGAAACACGTAGCAGATTGGTGAAGACACTTCTGGAGGTGTCTATGAATGTATTTCCAGAGATGACTGGCAGCAGATGAAGGAAGACCCACCCTGAATGAGAGCAAGCACAACAAAGCAGGCTGGGCGCCAGGGAGGAAACAAAGCACCAGGAAGAGGGAGCGGGGCAGCGCGGCCTTGCTCTCTCTGTCTCTGTCTCTGTCTCTCGGTCTCTCTCTCTCTGCTTCCCTACCTCCATGACAGGAGAACCGTGGGTCCACCACATCTTCCGTCTTCTTCAGCTTTACCATAGGCCCAAAGCCATGGAGCCAGCTGACCTTGGCCCCCAACCTCCGAAATTCTTGAGCCAAAATAAATCTTCTCTCCTTTTAAATTGTTTGTCTCAGGGACTTACTTGGTCCAAACAATGGAAGTCTGACAAGCACCCATCTCATCCCAGCCCAGCCTCTGCAGCTCTCCACCCTCTTCTTCTGCAGGGTGCTTGGCCTCCTCCCGCAGCTGCACCGCGCACTGTACGGAGCCCCCCGGCTTTCTTTGTCCTCCATGGACCTCTCCCTCCCACACGGTTCCCTGACACATTTCAGTCTTCACTCTGGTCATGTCAGCTTGGTGAGATTTCCTTGATCACTTCATATGACAAGATGCCTTCCCTCTCAGCATTCCTATTCCTCCGTTTGGTTTTATGTTCCTCCCTACCAGTGAACACCATCTACCGGCATATAGGTACTGAACATGTCTACAGAATGTAACATAGCTTCCCCTAAGCAGAATGTGAGTGACGATCACTTTTATGCCATTCTATTTCTGTAAACATGACTGATAAACAGCAGATAGAAGGTACTCAATAAAGGACAGACAAGAGGAACAGAGGTCAATATTGCTGTGATACACCATGTTGCATAAATAAGGTAATATTTCGATTACGGCTCTATTAAGTTTCCAAGAGAATGCAGAGTGGCCTGACTTTTATGCAAATGTTAGGAGATGATTACAATTGGCCTTTTCCCTACAAATTATCCAGTTATTCTAAAACAAGTAACGAACAATTTGCAAATATTGGTACAAGTTAGAAGAAAGGCTCCATTATCTGAACAGAAATGTCAGGATGACAGAGATCCTGGCTTTGGGAAGCCTCTTCAGTTATCACTGAAAAATGACAAAGACACATGTTTTCCTGAATAAGATGTGCTGGGAAAGTTTTACATGGTTTTACTTGTATTTGTATGGGTGGTATTCTAGAAGCTTACTGTATCAACAAATGGAGGAGGCAAAAAACAATTTGTTAATTCAAGGACATTAAAATTATTCCAGTTTCATATATGCCCTAACTAGTACTCCCTGGTTTTGATCTCTTATTAGACCTGGGCAGTCAAACTTCACTACACACCCAAAACAAACAAAACCACAGAAACCAAAACCTCATAGGCTCTATTTGCATATTGTTTGGTCAGAGTTGACAAAGATAATCTAAGATGGCCAAACCCTTCATATAAAATGCCATACTATTTTCATCTAATCCATATAATACTCCTATATACATTAAATTGCTCTAGATTACCATTGCCTAATACACTGTAAATGCTAAATATTATGTAGCATTTTTTTACACTTGGATGAATGCATTTTTTGTTTTATATTTTTTTTTACATTTGGATGGCTTTTTTTATTGTCATATTATTTTCCATTGATTTTTTCTAAGTATTTTCTGTGTTGGTTGAATCTATAAAGGCAGCACCCATGGATATGGAAGGCCAATTATATCTTTAAGTAGTCAACACTATACATATGAGCACATACACACACATAACCCCAAACCCCCACAACACATAGACCCTACATTATACCCCATATACACATACATATACACATATTTGTGTATATACATACATATATGTGTGTATATAGTATATATTCACATATATATACATATACATACACATACACACACACTGAATATATTTAAATAGTCTGCACTTCAATGGGGCTATTCTTTTCTTTTTGGTTGTGGGGTTTGAACTCTGAGCCTGGGCACTGTCCCTCAGCTCTTCAGTTCAAGCTGTACCACTTGAGCCACAGCACCACTTCCAGTTTTCTGATGGTTTATTGGAGATAAGAATCTCAGGGATTTTCCTGCCTGGGCTGGCTTTGAACCACAATCCTCAGATCTCAGCCTCCTGAGTAGCTAGGATTACAGACAGGTGTGAGCCATGCCGCCCGGCTCAACTGGGCTATCCTTTGTGTCACAGGGTGGCCTCCACATAGAAAGCGCCTGCTGTAAGACGCAGATAGCGCACACAGTACTGAGACCTGCCGTCTCCAGACCCCCGTCTGGGGTGCTGTGACTGTCCCGCACACATACCTCGTCTGCATTTATTTGTTTTCTCCTCTGCCACCACACAGCGCCTGCTTACTGCCTGCGTGTTGAGATGAAATGCTCTGGCAGAGAGCAGATGTACCAATTAATAGCCTGTCAGGTCTGATGGATAGAAGAGGAAAACAGTGTCCTCACACGGATCTCCAGCAAGGTTTCCGTCCCCCTTTCAGGGCGCCGTGGGTCAGGAGCCGCACTCGGCCTCCCCAGGGAGAGCCCACACTGTCTCATTAGCGTCTGTCTTTCATAGCACCACGATGTGGCCTCTGAGAGGCTGACTCACCTGCTCTTCTCCCAGAATCCTGAAGTGATGGAGCTCTTTAATCAAGGAGTTGGGACAGCCAGCTGTTCAAAAGGAGAATTAATCACAGAGATGTCATTCTCATTCTGTACAGTAACACGCCTTTTACATAGTTATGCCTATCAGTGACCAGGGTTGATACGGGGGAGGACACAAATGCGGACCGGAAATACGTGTCTGAACTACCACAAAGACACCAGACCTTCAGAGGGTCTATAGCTGCGGCCTGGGGCCCCACGGCAGCACGGGGACTGCCTTGTTAGGCCTCTCCATGATGACCCAGCCTGTCCAGGGCCGTAGGATGTCACGCCATGTCTAGTCGTTAGAGATGTGCCCAGCACGTCCCCGCCCTTGATTTTGTAGGGCCAGAGCAGGAGCGCTGGTGACGGCAGGTCCTTGCGTATTCACTGTGCTGTTTTTTGGGCCCTGGGCCAGATGAGAATGGAGAGAGTTCTACGGCATATGCTGCTGCTGCTGCTGCTGCTGCAGCATTTTCTGGGGCTTAGGACCCGCCCTTTTCCCTCCAAGGGGCCATGTCACTCTTGTAGTGAGATCCTGCACTAGAGTTGGGGAGGGGGTTCTTTTCTGGAAAGCTCTGGGGAGTGGGCTGTGGCAACCTTGCTGCCACCACGTTCCCACTCTAACGAATCCTCACTTCCCTAGGTGTTTGCATTGTCTTTCTCCAACTGTACAATGAAACAATTAATAAATAATATATACCCCAGCCCATACTGAAACAGGTACACATCTATACATGCTCCCTATCAGCTAAAAAAATGGTCCACTGTGGTCTTTTCAATAGAATAATTCTACAGTATTAGGTGTAGTCATTTATAATATTAACTATGGTAATGAAATTATTCTGAAAACCTGTTGCTTTAAGATAAGACCTATGGATCACATCATCTGTTGAGTTTCTAATAAAGAAATCGTATGCCAAGCCTATCTAAGAAACCACCAAGCTATTTCTTCTTTTGCTCAGCATTGTGGTGTAGGATGGGGTGAAGGGGTTTTTCTGGGTGAGGGCAGGCTAAGAAATGGCAAACCTTGCCTCCATGTGGGAAAAGGTGTACTTAGCAGCGTGCTTGTGTATTATTCTGCAAGGTGGGTTGAAACCAACAGGAAAACAGAAGAAATGCCTTATGAGCACATGATGGGGGTTGAAAACATGACAGAGTACTTACGCAGGATATTTTAAAGAAAAAATTTTAAGGAAAAGATATTCATCAACTTGATTGGCCCACGGGATGCCCAGATAGTTAGTAAAGCGTTATTTCTGGCTGAGTCTGGTGAGGGTGTTTCCAAAAGAGATTAATTAGCATCTGGGTTAATAGGCTAAAAACAGAAGATCTGCCTTCATGAAGGTGGGTAGCTATCACAGGCATGGAGGGCAGGCTTGACTAGACTGAAGATGGAGGGAAGGGGAAGCGTTCCTTCTCTCTCAGCTGCGCTCTTTGTCTGCTCTTGCCCTGAGACCTTGGAGCCCCGGTTCCTGCCTTCTGAGTTTGGAACTCACTCAGTTTCCACACAACCCAGGTACCACTGTTTCTCAGACCTTCATACTCAGACTGAATTGCAATCACACTTTGCTACATCACCAGCTTGAGATGGCAGATGGAGACTTCCCACCTCCATGGTGGAGTGCCTCAGTGTCTCGAATGAATCTCCTCTGCGTCTCTATGTACGTGTGTTACTGTGCTCTGGAGCTCTCACTGATGCACTAGGGTTAGTCCCAATTCTGAAAGTCTACCATCATGGAAAATGCTCGGACAATAGTTATAGTTTTTGATATGCCATAGCATCTCATGCTATGAGGAAATAATTTACAAGTATTAATGGGGAAAGTAAAAAAGATTTCTTATTTAAGAAAATAAATGAAAATAAATCAGTTGCCATAGTTATGTCTGTTTCTGTAGAGAAAGGAATTTAGACCCTTGAAAGGAGAAACTGTAATTGAGCAAGGGTGTTTCTGGTTGAAGACAAGGGCTTGCCGGTGAAAGTTCTGCCTGAGAGGTGGCTCATCCTGGAGTTGCTGCTTTCACATCAACCCAACACTGTGTAGTAGGATATCCAGGATCATCTGACTGGCTACAGAAAAGTGCTATATAAATGTGGCCTCATCCAGTTCTCCTGCTCTGACCTCTTTGTGGGGAGACAGTCATAACTTAGTTTTACAAAACGAATGAGTGAAGAACGGAGGCAGACAGAATGGAGGCATCTCCAGCAAGCGGCAGTGGTGTGAACAGGGCTGCAGGTCACAGCAGAAGAAGTCACCACATGGAGAGGGGCTGGGATGCCAGGGACAGGCCTAGGATGGAGCCAGGACCCTGCTGCAGGGTCTCATGCTTGGTAAAAATGGCAGAATCATATGCAAGGCTAAAATCATCAACCTAGATTTGTATATCCAGAAAAGCAAGCTGTCCTTCGTAATTGAGGGGAAAGAAAGAAAACCCGGGTCTCATAAAAGGCCTAGCGATGCTGCTAGAAAAATGACGAGCCAAATCTCAAATTAGCAGATAGGAAAAATAATAAAGAAATACATAAAATGGACACTAAAATCTATACAAAGTATCAATGAAGCAAATACTCGGTTCTTTGAAATGACAATAAGATCTACAAACCCCCAGCAAATCTGAGAAAAGGAGGAAAGAAATGACAGAAATGAATAAAATTAGAAATGAAAAGAGTCTATCACAACAAATACCAATGGATGCCAGAGGGTTTTATGAAAATGTTTTGAAAACCTATATTCAGTTAAGCTGGAAAACAGAAAAAGGCCTGGATGCATTTCTAGATGTATTTGTTCCTTCAAAATTTATTTAAGATGGTATACGCCAATGAAACTAATCTATAATGAGTAGTGAAACAATAGTATCTCCCAACAAAGGAAAGCCCAGAACCAGTGAATTCATTGCTGAATTCTATCAGACCTTTAATACTCTGAACATTTTCCATGGAATAGAAGAAGAAGGAACACCACTGAACTCCTTCTCTGAAGCCAGTATTACATTGTTTTCCAAATCAAAGACAAACCAGACAAACAAAATCAGAGAACTAGAGATAAATCTCTTTGATAAACATACATGCAAAAATTCTCAATAAAATTCTTTCAAAGTGAATCTAGCACACCTTAAAAAGTTCACATACTTATGATTAAGTTGATTTCATTCTGGGATATAAGAATTGTTCAACATACATAAATCAATAAATGTAATACAGGACATAAATGGAATGCAGTACAAAAAAATCACACAATCATCTTAAATGGTGCAATAAAAGCTTATGATTAAATCCAATATCCTTTTATGATAAAGTCTCTGAAGAATCTAGGAATGGAGGAACTCTGCCTCAGCATAAAAAAGGCATAGATAACAAATCTCTGGACAATATCATACTAAACAGGGAAAAACTGAAATCAATTCAAGTCAGGAAAGAGACAAGGATGTTCACTCTCTGCCTTTATTTAATATGGTTCTATAATTCTTGGCCAGAACATAAGGCAAAGGAGGAAATTAGGAAGATTCAAATATGGAAGAAGAAGTCAAGTTATCCCCATTTCCACATGATCTAATTCTATATGTAAAAGACCCTACAGACTCTTCCAAACAATTCCTGAATCTGATACATACCTTGTAAAATATAGCAGGATATAAAATCAACATTCAAAAAGCAGTAGCTTTTCCAAATATCAACAACAAGCAAGCTATGAAAGAAATCAGGGAAACTATCCCATTCACAGCAGCTTCAAAAATCAAAAAGAAAGGGGCTGGGAAGTTGGCTCAGTGGTAGAGTGCTTGCCTTGCAAGCCTGAGGCCCTGGGTTTGATTCCTCAGCACCACATAAGCAAAAAGAAAAAAAGCCGGAAGTGGCGCTGTGGCTCAAGTGGTAGAGCGCTAGCCTTGAGCTGAAGAGCTGAGGGACAGCGCCCAGGCCCAGAGTTCACGCCCCACAACTGGACCCCCCCCCCCCCAAAAAAAAATCAAAAAGAAAAAGACAACTGAAACAGAACAACAACAACAACGACAAAACCCTGGGAATAAACGCTACCCAAGAGGCAAAAGCCCTTCGGAAAAAACCAAAACTGTACAACGTTAATGTAGGAGTCCAAAGAAGACACCAGAAGATGGAAAGGCCTACCATATTCTTGGATTGGTAGAATTAATATTTTTAAGATGGCCATATTACTGAAAATGACCTACCAATTCAATGCAATGCTTATCAAAATCTCAATCACAGAAGCAGAAAAATCAATACTAATATTCATAATGAAGTATAAAAGATCCAAAAATAGAAAAATTACTCCTGAGTAAAACTAATAATTCTGGATGTATTATAATACCAAAGCCAGCATGGTATTATAAACAGACACAAAGACCAATGTGCCAGACTAGAAGCTTTAGAAACAAAGTTACACAGCTAGTTATCTAATCTTGGATAAAGGAGATAAGAATGTATTCCGAGAAAAGGCATTTTCAAGGGGCTTGGAAAACTAGTTATCTGTATGTAGGAAATGGAAACCAACTTTATTTCTCATCCTGTATAAAAATCAACTCCAAATATTTTAATGTCAAATATTTTAATGTCAGATTTGAAACTTTAAAATTACCATAGAAAAATATAGGTAAACTGAAGACAGAGGCAGAGGTAATTGTTTTCTAAGCTCAGATAATAAGAACAAGAACCATCATGTTGGACTATATCAAATAAAAATGTTTCTGCACAATAAAACAATTGTCAGAACCAAAAGATAACCAACAGATTTCAATCAATAACAAGTGTTCAAAAGTTAAACATTAACAGAACAAATAGCCCAATTAATAAATGGGTAAATGAATTGACCTGAGAGTTCTTAGAAAAAGAAATACAAATGGCAAATAGATACATGTTCAGTATTGTTAGCCACAAAGGAAATACAAATGAAAACTATACCAATCCGAATGGCAATCATCAAGAAAAGAAATTACATTTCCTGTGGAGAGTGTGGGGGCAAAAAGAAACATTGTGAGTATAAATGTAAATTGTTACAACCACAAAGGAAATCCAA